AGAAAAATAATTGCAGAAGAAGTTATTTCTTGTATATTTACTAATGTTATATTATATATATATATATATATATATATTTTATATAGATAAGGCTATTATAAAGTGAGGGATTTATTTTAAAATATAAAGTATATGTTTATAACTAATAATTAAGATAAAAGTGGAGATTGTCATTAAAGATTATGTATAAGTCTAATGATAATCAAAGTTAATTATACTCTTAATTGTTAATTTTCTAATAATTAATTATTAATAAAAATAAAGTACGTTCCTCCTAATTAAACTACCGAGCCAAATCTTTCATTTATATATTTCTCATTAAATTTATTCATTATCAATATGGAATTGTAATTGCATCTCAAACACTTAAATTTTAAAAAAGTTATTCTATTTCAGCAAAATCAAACTTCATATAATAAAGTGAAGCTGTTGTGTCATCTTTAAATTCTAAATTTTAAATATGGTTATTTCATAAATCCTAAAGACGTGACACTTATAATTCTCTCTAAAATTATAAGTTACTATTTTATTACACGAGTCTAAAAACTAAATGAAAGTGACATAATTGAAATGAATGCACTTGAGTTCTATGCATTTCACTGTCATTAGTTATCATTTATATACGTTTTGCATAATGGAGATGCTCAAGTAGTCAGGTCCATCTAAAAGCCTTTTGAGGTAACTTGACCTTGATCAAAGACATCTCAAATGGTTGGACCCAATTAATACCACTTTACGTGAAACATCTATACATCGTAATTGATGATGATCCAATCACCCATGAAAGTGGTTAATGTGCCTTCAAATGTGTCACTTGCATAATCTTTTCATTATTTGTCACATCATGTACTTGAGAAGTGATAGGATCAATAGATTTAAGGCTAAATACTCATAAGTATTTAGAGGGATCGATCTTCCCATTTCACATTGAAATAAGGTAATATATTAATGATTCCACTTATACTTTTCTATCATCCCATGTTATTAATACCTAATTCGAATTCTTAGTTAGATAACCTTTTCTTCATTCTAATAACATTATGTTTAGTGTTAATCTTTGCAAGTCTTTTCACTTTTATCCACCACACTTAGTAGTACATAAAATAATTTTCTAAAGAAGTTAAAAATTCGAATTTGAGTCTCATATTTAAATATATTAAAATAAATTGTTTAACTTAAGTTAATGTGTCAATGTTAAGGAGTGAGAAACAATTTTGTTGAATCTCAATTTTTATATGGTTTGCATTTTTATTGGTCTGTCAAACTGAATTAGATTGACCTATTTTTATTATATATGTTGTTTTTAATTTTAATATATTATAAAATAAAAGATGTAATAAAATATCGACCATACAAGTTTGATACATTTTGTTTCAAAGACATCTAAATAGAAAGTTGAAACTAAATCAATTTTGACATCTCTTGATATAATATATTCTTACCTCCATTAATAGTAAAAAAAACAAAAAATAATTAATTTTGATGAAATGAACAATTATTTCGAAAAGGTGAAAATAATTAGAAGATAATTTATAAAAATAAAAAAGTATTAAAAATATATACGAAAAGAATATATCACTTATATATATATGGTTATAAATTAACTCGAACCAAATATTTCCACTTACCATATCTACCCTATTATTATATTTATTCAAATTTTGTACATGCCTAGTTAGTTAAAGAAAAAAAAACATGGTAAATTTTATGCCAATTTGGGGGTAAATGCTTTCCAATTTTATGTACATGCAACCAACATGATATGTCATTCATTCGGTGTGAGCAAAAGAAAAATAAAAAATCCACTCAAACTCTAATTAATCGCGTCCAATTGTATTTTATAAGTTAATAATATTATTTGGTACGAAAATATTATACCAAATTGTCAGAAAATATCTCCTACAAACATTTTTCATTTCTTATTTGTTTTTTCTATGTGTAAATCATTTTACAAAAATATATTTACGAGCCCTTTAATATATTTCCTTATAAAAAAATTTAATATAACATAAAGATAAAATTCTTAATTTTTTTTTTTACAAATAACATCTCTAACGATACAAAACCATTACCAACACATAAATTTTATATAAATGATCACGCACAAAATTAGTAAGAAAAAAATGAAAATAAGTAGAAAAAAAGTATAAAAATGTGTCGGACAAATTAGGAAAAATAAAATTCAAACGAGTCACAACTAACAAGAAAACAATGCAAATGGGTGAGAAAACAAATATTCATATGAATTAATGAGAATAAATGATAAAAAAAAAATGAGCATAAAGATGGGTGAAAAAAATAATGCAAGCAGGCAAAAATAATAATGGAGGAAATATTTTGAATGACCAGAAAAATACCAGCAAAAAAAAATACAAATAAGTAAGAAAAAATTGGACAAAAAAAAGTTGTTAAATGATCCCTCGATTATAATATGTATAGAATTTTACGAAAAAATAGGATGGAAATTAAAAATTAGAGGAAAATCTTATATTATAAGGTAGATAGAAAATAATACCATACTAATACAGGAGTTTCTAAGAGTGACGCAAAAAGATACTTTTGTCTCTTAAATCACTCAAATAGTGCAAGATAACCAAGATCATGACCTAAACAATGAAGTTATATAAGATAGCAGTGGTTGTGACTATGGCAATATATGCAATATTTACATCCTCAACACCGGTGCAGCATGTTATTGATGGTGCGATAAAGGATAACATGAACTTAGGTGATGGATTTCATCATGCATTCGATTATGGTATTTGGAACCCTTCTCCTGGTCAATGGGGAGGAGGTAGGGTCGCTCCCATTCCTCATCAAAAAATGAAGAAAGAGAATTCATCATGATTATCAGTTGTATTATGCTTTTTAAATTTCTTATGTTATGATAAAGGATAATAGTTTTTTTTTATTATTTATTTTTTATGTGCAAGCTCAAGTCCTGAAAGTTAAAAAAAAATAAAAAATATTGCGTAATTTGATTCAAATTATTCAAAGCTGAAGAGAGTGAAATCATTCATAATAGTATTACATATTTTGTTTGGAATCAGTCAAATATTTAATTAGATATTCCAATATGGTGGTAATAACGCGTGCACGCACACAAGAAGAAACTGTATAATAATTATAATTATAAAAAGAAACAGTGGATCTAGCCGAATGGATGCCACTTCCAAAATGATGTTCTAATACTAAGAAATTAAAATTCTAGACGATCACGAACAGAATGAAATAAAATAAGTTTACTAATTAAAATGAAATATGAATAAAAGGTTTATAAATAATCATCATTAAATAAAGAAGCTTAATCACAGATGAATTATTAATTTTTAGTGAATTTAAAAATTTTGTTTATATTTTTAGCATAATCATAAACTTGAAGACGAGGCTGTTCACGTGGTGATCGCGTGCTCTAGTTACCGCGAGCAACATGGTTTCCCGCTAGCGCGAGAGGAAGTAGCTTTTACCATTCATTCATTCGTGATTCGTGAAAAGCGGGAGGGAATTTGAGGCTTTAAAAGTTGAAGGCAATTGTGAATTTTATATCCACGTTGTGATCCCAGCTAAAAGAAACAGAACAAAAAAGTGCACTTTCTTTTTCAGTTCCCATATATTTTTGCATTTCAGTTAATTTCTTAGTTGCTTTTGGTTTTAACTTCCAAATCAGGCCATGGAAGAAAGCTCCTCATACTTGTCGAGTAATCATAGAAAAGCAGCAGCTTCTCTGTTCGCTCTCGCATTTCATCACTCTCAAATTCATCAAACTCTCGACTCTAAATCTCCTATTTTCGAGAATTATTATGATTTCCTTTGCCCCGTTTTTAGGTATTGCTGTAAGCTCTTGTTTCTGTGTTGTGATTTAGAGTCTCCACAATGATTATATATATCTTAAAGTCGTACCTTATATCATTTTAGATGCTATATCACATTATAAGTATTTCACATCATTTTTACCCGATAGTTAAATTTTAAGCAACTTATAAGATATATACTCTTTAATTGAACATTTTTTTTTTTAATTGTAAGCAGCTTTATCTTAAGCAACTCAATATGCCACTTAGATTCTCTCCAATGGAATTTTTTTTTTTAAGACACAACTACTGTGGATGCTATTAGAAATAAGAGTTTAATTGTCATGTCATTTTATACTTTGAATCAATCAGAAAATAATTTATTATAAAACTCAACAAAAACTTATTATGTACATATCTGATATGTTATTGAATGATGTAGTTAAAGACTAAAATTGTATTCTAATTAAATTCTAATAATAATGACAGGTTCCTTGGAGTGGACGAAGAAGCCTGGCATAGCCTAAAGGAATCTGCCGGTTCCTTCTCCCAAATCAGGGATCACCTTGGATATGTATGTTGTTCATCCCTTCATTTTCATTTTATATATTGTAGATAAAAATATAATGTTGAAAGGATGCTTGCTTCATTCCAGTTGTTGAAATCACTGTCAGAGGAAAGTAATGCAACTCCTTCAGAAGCATTGAATAAAGAAGCTGCGTTGACCAAAGCTGTTGATGCCTCAGCCATGGGCATGAACAATGCTGCTGCAGATTCTGAAAGCGGGGTCCATGGGCAGAAAACTAAAGCCCAAGATGATTCATCTGAAGTTGTGGAGAGCTCAGCTTTGCTGCCTTTAGAGAAAGCACCTTCCACTGAGCTAGTAATTGTGACATTTGAACAACCTTTGGAGGAGGCGACCCTTATCAGTTACCAGAGGAAAGTTACAGTTCTTTACACACTTGTTGCGGCTTGTGTAGCAGATCATGTTGAGACCGACAAAAAGGACTGCCAGTTAAGGCAGGGTTATGATGCTCGTCACCGTTTGGCTCTGCGATTGCTTGCTGTATGGCTTGGTATAAAATGGAATGAAATGGTTTGTGTACTTGGAACACCTTCATTGCATGCTTTTCAAACACCATATGGTATTAACTGTCACGTTTGCGGTGTGTGGATCTTATATGTTACGTTTGTGATGTGTGAATCTTCATATGAAAAAGTTTTTTCTGCTTAATGATGTGGTGCAGATAGCTGTATGTCTTCATGGTTTGTTGTTTTTAACGAAGTGGTTTTTGGGCAGCTCTCTATTACTACAAGTTTACCTTCAATGTGATATTTTACAGGAAGCAATGGAGGGTATGGTTGCCTATACTTTAATGAATTCAATGAGTAAAGAAGGTGACAAGGAAGGAGAAACTGTAGGTTCGGAAAACAACTGGGATAAATGGAAGCGTGGAAGTATCATAGGGGCAGCTGCTGTAACTGGAGGAACCGTAATGGCTATAACTGGTGGTATGTATGATGTATCTGCTACTACAAGTCTAACTTACAAGTAGCCTTATCTAACCAAAGGGTGAGATAATATCAATATATTAAGTATTGAAATTCTTTGACAGGCTTGGCTGCCCCAGCAATTGCTCACGGATTAGGTGCTTTAGCTCCTGCATTGGGCGCTGTTGCTCCTGCCGTTGGTGGTGGATTTGCTGCTGCTGCAACTGCTACAGGATCTGTTGTTGGATCTGCAGCTGTTGCTGCATCATTTGGAGGTGTGGAAGAATTAATTTGGTTTACATACATTGTGAAAGCCTTCACCAACACTAGAAATATACATATAAACTATATATAATTGTGGCGAGAGGGACTTTGGACAGTTTTTCAATGTATAGGTTAATGCTAAGTGACTTCCTTCTTTTGTATCTCAGCTGCTGGAGCTGGCCTTACTGGGAGTAAGATGGCTAATAGAATTGGAAATCTTGAGGAATTTCAGTTGAAAGAGATTGGAGGCGCTAGTCAAGGCGTAAGTTCTGAAATTTCATTGTGTTATACTGATTACTTCGGAAATTTAGAGTATCAGGGGTTTGGGTGGAGCAACGACACTTGGTAGGTTCAGTAGCCACTTTGTGCATGACTTGATGATGAACCCAACAGGATCTTGTTAAACTTAACCGTGAAGTACACTAATATTATTGTTGAAATTTGAAGCAAAATCTCCCTTTTCAATTTTCAGCACCTATCAGTTACGATTTGCATTTCTGGGCTTGCATTCGAGGAGAAAGATTTCGTAAAACCTTGGGAGGGTCTCAATGATAACATAGAGAGGTATTGAAAATTATCCCCTTCAACTAGAATTTTGTTATTGTACAGAATAAAACTATAAATGTTCTTTTCTGTGGTCAAAATGCAGTTTTATCTTTGCAATTCTCTTTTGGGCATTGACTTTCTTGAGATACACCTTTAATACATGTTTTTATTGGCTAGGTTGAGCAGAAGTCAAATTACTCTATAATTTCTTACATGCTGTTTGATAATTTAGTCGATTTGTTTTTCCATTTCTTTCTAATTTTCAGAAAACCACATAAGCTAATATGTAGGATTATGTAAATGCTCCCAAGTCTTAAAGCTTGTGGTGTTCCTCTATGGCGAATAACTTAATTTTCTCTAATAAATTATTAATTTTGCTAAATGTTATATTTGGCGGATTCAAACTTAGTCTGCTTGAAAGTTATATTCTTAGTATTTCTATTATTTTATACTAACGACCTGTGTGATTAGGTACGTGCTTCAATATGAGTCTAAACATTTGATCGCCCTTAGCACTGCCATCCAGGACTGGCTTACTTCAAGTAGCTTCTTTGAACCCCCTATTTATGTCTGAATAATGATCAAATATGTATGGCACATTCAAACTGAAAGTATTTGATGGTTTACAATTGCAGAAATTGTAACTGAGTTGATGAAAGAAGGTGCCATGATGACAGTACTAAGCTCACTTGTCGCATCACTAGCATGGCCAGCAACTTTGGTTACTACATTTGATCTTATTGACAACAAATGGGCAATTGCAGTTGACAGGTAAGTGCTTTTCTTGGTTGTAGTATCCTTGTAAAATACTATGACGGCTATTTGATGCAAAAAAACACTATGAGACCAAAATTTCTTTTAAACACAGATGATAGGTTGCTCTGGTTTTCTAGTTATCAGCTAGCAGTACTATTATTACGCACTTAATAAATAAGGCAGTATCCGCTGTTCTACTCTCATCCATTTCATCTCCTTTGATTTATCCAACATAGTCATTAATTAGCTTAAACTAAATAAAAAGTATAACTTTAGCGAAGATTCCATATTTACACATTAGTACAAATGAATTCCGCATTCAGATTTCTTGACTTGGATGTTTTTACTCGTGGACATCAATGTTTTAGTTGCCGTTATGTTGATAAATATGTTTTGGCCATGGAAAGGGTAAATAATTTTTTAGTGTGGTTTCTGTTGAATATTTGTTTCTGTAGGGAACAGAAAGATCGTACTTACTAGTTACTACTTGGTATCCATCTTTTTTACATTATACTACATTTAGCCTGACTTTCTTCTTGTTGGAGCAGATCAGACAAGGCTGGTAAGGTGCTTGCTGAGGTGTTGCTGAAAGGCTTGCAAGGATGCAGGTGACACCATCTAATGTTATTACAAAAGGACAATAATGTTGCCTCACTGTATAATCCAATATGTTTTATAGCTTTCTATTTATGGTCCAGGCCTGTGATACTAGTAGGTTTTTCATTGGGAGCCCGTGTTATTTTCAAGTGTCTCCAATTTTTGGCTGACTCTAATGGAGGTAATATGGAATCATGACCTCTTAGTTTTCATGTGAATTTGAAATTTATATTGTTTGCTTTATAAATTCTTCATACTGTTCTATGTTATGTAGCTGGAATAGTTGAAAGGGTTGTTTTTCTTGGAGCACCCATCCCAATTAAAGGCGAAAATTGGGAGGCAGCTAGAAAGGTACGCAACTTCTCTACAATCTTTTGTTTCCCTAAATCTCCATCCATTAACTTTTTTCTCAACTACTTAATGATCCTGCCACCATGCAGATGGTGGCCGGAAGGTTTGTGAACGTTTACTCTACGAATGATTGGACGTTAGGTATAACTTTCCGTGCCAGGTATGTGCTATCTATATGATCTATGTCAAGTCACAGTTACACTAATAAAAGGTTGAATGTTTAACTAATTATTGAGTCCCTGCGAATTTATCATAACAATTCTTATATAATCTAAGAGAGACAGGAAGAGAAGAAAGGAATCTGATAGATAAAATTAGCAATGTGTTTGAGAGATAAAGAGAAAAAAATAAATTATAAAAAATAGTTGAGAATGTCCTCTATGTGTAATTATTGAGAAAAATCTAAGTCTTACATCGATTAGAGATTAGACAATTATTTAGTATATAAGTGGAAAACAATCTTCACTTTACAAGCCGATTTTGTAGGATTGAGGTAGGCTCAAATTCACAATTTCAAGATGATATCAAAGCCGTCTAGATTCACTTTAATGGATTATCCACCATTAATATATGCACCGTGAACATGAGGAGGTGTATTGAGAAAAAAAAAATTCAAGTCCCGTCTATCTTAAATCATTAAAAAGCTAGGACTATCTAAGGTAGTCTCATAGAACATAACATTCAGTGGTTACTAAGGTGGTCGCATAGAATTTATCTACTAACATCCTAACCCTAGTCTGCTGTTGTAATTTCACCATTGAATCTTTAGGTGTGGATAATTTTGTATCGATCATTATTAAAATTGATAAAATTCGATCTTGATTCCTTTGCATTATAATTATTATTGCTATTTATAAAATGGAAAATTTGAATGAAAACCACCTCACACTTGTTTGTTACGTCTAAATTGTGAAATAATTGAAAGTATGACTGATTCTCACTCTACAACCGTTATCTGAGAGCATGAAACTGGAAAGTCATGATTTTCCATCCATTTTTCACTTGCCACAAAGCATACTCTAAGAGACCATAAGCTCATAAATTTATTTTCAAATAATTTTGTATGCACAGTTTACTTTCTAAAGGATTAGCTGGAATCCAACCTGTTGAAATTCCTGGGGTTGAGAATGTAAGCTCTTTTCCATCCTATATGCCCAATTCAACTGTTTACTTATCAACGATTTATTGCTTGAATTGAAGGTGCCATCCTTTTTTTATTGCTTTGCAGGTTGATGTGACAAAACTTATAGATGGTCACTCTTCCTACCTGTGGAAGACACAGAAAATACTGGATCAGCTTGAATTGGACAATTGTTCTGCTGTTCTCACAACTGAACTAAAAGACCCAAAGGAAGGGAAGAGTAACCCAAAGTAAGAGAAGAGTATCGCGAAGGCCTGAACATGAACTAGCTTTATTTATTTTTCTATTCATTCTTCCTCCCTGAACCCCCCACCTTTGTGAGAGATTAATATCAAAGGGGCAAATTGGAGCGTGGAACCATCAATTATATGGTTCACCAATGAACTTCAATATTTGTGTTTTATATATTTAAATGGTTCATCGGTATTTAGACACCGTTGGATCAGATCTAAATAAATGAATGGACTAGATTGTCTGGCCATGTCTTTTATGTATTTTTATATTAAAATTAATTTATTAGAGTAAATGTCAATTTTGCCCCTTAGTTCATAGTTCCTCTAGGTCGTGCTTTGTCATTTCATAAAACTAAAATAACTTTAAAATTTAAAAATAAAACCAACTCCTTATATATTAAGGATTAAGTCCTATATTTTGCAAGAGTATTTTTAAAAGTTTTTTTTTTATTTTAGATTTTATAGATTTTTTTAACTTCTTATTTAATTTGATTTTTATTTATTATAATTATTTATAAAAAATTTTAATATTTTTTAAATAAATCAATCTCTATATTAAATATAAATCTTCTTGCGTGAGAGTATTTTTTTTTTTTGAATTTTTCTTTGACGAGAGAACTTATAGAAATTTTTTTTACTTTCTTATCTAATTTAATTTTATTTATCATAATTATTTATAAATTAAATATTAATATTTTTGAAATAAATTATCAATAAATAAAAATAATTTTTTTACAATACAAATTATTTATCATAAATCTAAAATATGATTTATATATTCATAAAATATTTGTGTATACTAATTTTAAATTTAATTTATATATTCAAACATAACATTTATTTTTATATATAATTTATTATAAATTTTAATTATGTATAATAAATATATTTGTGCATTGTAAAGCTAAATACTAGTTATTAATAAACAAAATAATATTATGATACAATATAAATCAATCTCAATATATTAAATGAGGATGACTATCTTGCATAATAACATTTTTAAGGACTATCCTTCTACATGAGTGTTTTTAGGAATTTTTTAATTTTTTATTTAATTCAAATTTTTTATTTATCATATTATATTTATTTATGAACTAAAGTTACAATTTTGAATTAATTCTTAAATATTTCATGTTAACAACTATCACGTGTAAAAGCATTTTTAGAGACTATTTTTTGACAATAACATATTCAATAATTCTTTTAACTTCTTATCAAATTAAATTTTTTATTTGTCATATATATTTAGGAATTAAATTTTAATATCTATTTATACAAAGTTTTATATTCAAATAAAATATTTATTATATATAACATTATAAAATTTAGCTAAATATAATAAATAGTTAAATGTGAAACAAACATGCTAAAATGCTTGTAATATAGAATATTGCAACTTTTTTTCGCTGGTGAGCCATTTGCATTACGACTTCACCATAAAAAATAAAGTTGTCAAAGTGGGTCGAAATTCATAAGTTAACTCGGTCCATCGTGAGTTTGAGTCGGGTTGAGGCAAAAAAAATTTGTTCGTTTCAATTATAAGAAAAATTTGAGCTGACTCACCCAAGTCAAGTTGTGACTCAAGGGTTGGCTCACTTAGTATACTTTTTTATTTTATTTTTTGGGTTCCCAAATGTTAATTCATGTGTTTATATATTTATATCATTAACTAAATTTTATACATACTAATTGTGAATTATAATTAGTGTCAATTTGATATTATTTGTCAATAACTTATGTAATAACTTTATTTTTTAAGTTGACTAAGTTAGTTGTGGATGATTTTTTTTTTTTACATTTTATTTATTTTTTTGTTAGATAGTTGTAATTTTTAAATATAAGATCATAATATGTATTTTTTATAAAGTGAATAATTTTTTATATATATATTTTTAAATTAAGTGAATCAATCCATTTAATCTATTAATGTGTGATGGATTGGGCCAGATTTTAATTTTAATCTCACTTAAAGATAAATTAATTGGATCAAATTCGGTCCACTTGTTACCCAACCTATGATGATCCAGGTCAGATCCTAAACCCTATGATGAACCGGATCAATTCCTAAACCCTAACCCGAATTATCCCTATGATATAAAGCGCCATTGTCAAACACCGTAAAAAAAATGGTTTTGGAAGTACCACTGGCTGAGTTTTCGGGTTGAATGCCATAACCCAATTTCCTCACGGGAAGATACCAAAGAAAATAGTCTCAAGAAAAGCTGAACATTATTTTGTTTAACCAATACATCACTTCATGCTCCTAATACGAGGCAACAAAACCAAATTAGATACATAGGTGCTTGAGCCTTGAAGTTTAGTGGTAAAGATTTTTGTGCCTTAACATATTTGAGGCCAAAGATTCCCATATTTCTTATTTAAAGCAAAGTAGCAAGGACCAAATGTTTTTAATGTTATTTTCAAAGCTTAGGTTTACCATCATTTATTTATGACGAATTTTGTATCAATGTTTATCTGTCCGCTCCGTCGATGACAATATTAGTAAGATTATTTATTTGGATAAACCAACAAAAATTCACATTAGGACTGGCGTATATTTCAGGTGCTATGGGCCTATGGTTGATTTTTCTTGGTTAGTTTATGCGTTATGGTTGGTTAGCTTGATATTGGGTTTCACGTGGATGGCTGGAGGTATGTATTTTAAAGTGATTAAATTATCTACATGGTCTGGATGGCATACGCAGCAACCCAACTTTGCCATCAAGCTACTATGTTATGTATTAACCATTCGTTCCTTCTCTGAAATCGTAGGCTTAAAGGCCAAGCAATTAATCGTAACTCATACGACGTATGCGGGTATATATACCAAGTTGATGCGGGTAGTACCAACCAGTGCATTCATGATGCATGATTAGCCTTTAAGGGTCCATCGTCCTTAGGGTTGTAATGTTGTTGATTAGCCGTAGGCAGTTGTTGATGCATGATCGAGTTATGCACGTTTAGGAATAATGACTCTCGTCCCTAGTAGTATCACACACCTACTTTTTATCTACTTTTGGTAGTATATATGTTTTGATTAAAATAAAAATAAAAAAGATAATAAGTGGTTAAAGGTGAAAGATTTGGAAATTGAACCTCGTTGAAGGTTGAAGTAAAAATAAATAAATAAATAATAATGAAAGAAAAAAGTGGTTTAAATGTAATTATAGAGATAAATTAGTCCAAAATTTATATATACCAAAATGAGATATCTTCTTTATTAATCATATAGATGTAATTAAATTGTGAAGTAATATTAATAATTGGTATTTCAACTTCAAATAGTTGACATTGTTAGGATTATTGTGTATTATCCAATTTGATGTTCCTTTGGTAAGTTAAATGGCAAAAGTGTCCTAAAATCGATGTTCTAACCTCAAGTCTACTAATATTGTTACATTCGATATATTATTCATTTCAATATTTGTTAAGATTATCATAATTTTATATTTGAAAAAGTGTCTAAATGAGCTAAGAAAATGAGAGTGTTTATAAAAAAATCCTTTATCTTAAATACAATGTGAGATTTTTTGGAGTTCCAGAACTATTGTTAATTTATTTTATTACTCTTGTAATGTTATTTGTTAATTAATAATACATTTCAATCTTAAATTTGCTAATATTGTTACATCTAAAATATTATCTACTTTAGTATATTTATTAAGACTATCACAATTTTATCTTTTAAAAAAGTGTTCAAATAAGTTTAAAAAAATGAAAATATTTATAAACAATCTTTTATCTCACAAATAATATGAGATTTTAGAAGTATTAGAATTATCATTAATTTTTTTATTACTCTTTTAACATTATTTGTTAATTAATAATACATCATTCCAATCTCAAATGTGTTAACATTATTCCATATGAAATATTATTTATTTTGATATTTGCAAAAAATTGTTATGATTTTGTTCTTGAAAAAATATATAAAACAAGTTAAGAAAATAAATGAATAACCTTTTGTCTCATAAACAATGCGAGTTTTTTAAGAGTACGAGAATAATAATTATTATTTTTTATTACCTTGTAACATAATTTGTTATTAATAATACAGCAACCTATTGAATACAATTCGTTATTATATTTTTTTTCAAAGAAAGAAAGTACAGCCTAAAATATAATATTATGGTGGCACTCTATTATTAGAAACCAAGGGGGGCCCGTGTGCAGTGTTAGTGGGAGAGGTTTGGGGACAACAGGGGTTGCACTTCTTTCTAGGTGCTACAACATACCTGCAAGTGGCTCAAGTGGGGACGAAGTGACTACTAAGCCACCCTCTAGCATCTATCTTATAGATTTCATCATTAGGTGGGGACAGACAATGTTGAGTTGGTGATCGAACATTGTAATAAAATTGTCACGATTACTATATATATAAGTTATGATATATGCATTAAAGGAGAAGGTATGCTTATTAGTTACAAAATTTCGTTTTCTAGAGTGTGTCAAATTAAAGATGGAGACCTTGAGAACAAGTTCTCGGGTCCTCTGTCTAGTACTTGCAATGACAATTGTTGGGTTTAGATGTGACGACCTGAAAAATGTCAATGCTCCTAGTCCTAGTCAAGACAATGCTACTTTTGTAACATTCCCTAGTGAAGTTGTAAATGATGAAGTAAAAGGAAAACACAACAATAATAAAGTCCACGTCATGAGTACTTGGTATTATGGAGGAGGAGGAGGTGGCGGTGGAGGAGGGGGTGGGGGTGGTTATGGATGGGGATGGGGTGGTGGAGGTGGAGGTGGAGGTGGAGGGGGAGGTG